TTTTTTTATTTATTTATTAACATTTAATTATTAAATTTAGATAATTCAGAGAATTTAAAAATTGAAAGAGAAAATTTATTATGTGTATTTAAATTAGTTATAAAAGATTTATTAAATTCAAGTTTAAAAAATGAACGTGTTCTTGAAAAAGAAAATTTCTCATTAAAACATTTTTTTCTCGTGTTCGAACATATTTTATTACATGGTTATAATGGTAAAAAAGTATTTCAAATCAGTACAGCAGGAAATCGAAAAGATCTATGGCCAATTATTGATCTTATAACACGTAAAACAACTGATACAAATATAACAGATATATCAACATCAATAAAAGAAATGACAAATATTCGTACACCATTAGGTCGTGTACGAGCATGGTTACGTCTTGCATTAATGCAAAAGCATTTAGCTGATTATTTTACAATTCTTATAGAACAAAAACAAGAATTAAAAGAATTATATGATAATGAAGCTTTACTATTATCAGATGATAGTATGATTTTAACTGGTTTACTTGTTGGTCTTAATGTATTAGATTTTAATTTTTGTTTAAAAGAAATGATACTTGATCAACCAATTGAAACACCTATTTATTATAATTTATATTTACGTGAAAGACGTATAGCATCAATATCATCGAAAAATACACATCCACCTGGTGCAATAAAAGATCCGATCGATGATATAGATGATTATTCACCGTTACCTATAATAAAATCAAATGCAGAAGATGATGATCCGACATCAGTAGATGATAATAACGCTGATAATCGACGTTTTTCCAATATGCTTGATCAAAAGAATTATGTTGAAGAAATTAATCGAAAATTACAGTATGTAGTTAAAGATATTGAATTTAATTAACTAATTTATTTTATTTTTTACTATAAAAAAATAAATAGAACTACAGTAAATGGTTTACAAGAACGTTTACAAGTGTTTGAACAAACAAATAAAATTTTAGCGGAAGAAACAGCAGTACAAAAAACTCGTATTGAACAATTAGAAGAACAAGTTGTACAAATTACAGCAGAAAAAGAACAGATATTATCATCTTACCATCGAAAACTTGAAGTAAGAATTTAATTTTAGTTCTCATAATATGTACTCGATCTAAATTTAGCTCGAAAACATATAATAAAACTAATTATAAAGTATTTACGGATCTTTCATTTTGTTTTTGCCGGAAACATATAAAGAATAGATCTATAATAAGTATTTTATACTGATTTATTCTTTGTAGACTACTGTTGCTGATATTGAAGTCGAACGTGAGACTTTTCAAACATCTCGAAATGGATTTGATTTAATTTATAATGAATTACAGAAGAAATATCAAGAAGAACAGTTATCAAAAGAAGTAAATTGAAAAAAAAATTTTTTTTTCTAAGTTTTATTCGATTTATATGAAATCATAGAAAATTGAAAATGCATATCAGACGCAATTATCTCAAAATAGTGAAATTATGGAGTCAACAAAAATAATGGAGAAAAATATGGAAGTTAAAAATACGTTATATGATCATATAAAAGAAGATAACAATCTACTTTTACAAAAATTACAAGTATAAATTTAAATATAAAATATTCTTTTTTTAATCTTTTTTTTTGATTAGATTGAAAAAGATCGCAATGATGAAAAAGAACATCAAATACAAACAATTGACAAGAAAAATCAAATGCTAAGACAAACCATTAATGAATTAGAAACAAAGTATATAATTTAGAGTTCTATAGAAAGAAAAAGTTATTTATAATTTCTAAGTCATACATTAATGACAAGAATGACGTTCACGGATAATAAGTTCATTATCTAAATATATATCAGACGAAGTACACTGCGGGGGTGAATACTTCTCGATTTAATCTAGTAATGTCTGAATATATTAATTATTGATGTAAACATTAGTAGGATATTCTTCTCTTATTTGAACTTTATCTATGATAGCTCGTTACTTTTGTCGATAGTGCTCTATGTTTTCATGCTTCTGGCTTAGTTGGGTTTTGAAGTTTGATATAAATTTTCATAAGTTAACGAATTCCTGAGTTCCAATAAATATATTTATCTTTTGTTTAGTATCGAAAAAACTAATAAAGAAAAACAAGCTCTTAGCGATACAATTGATAAATTAAATCAAACATTAATTAAATCAGATACTGACAAGTTTGTATAATTTATATTAAATAATTAAAATATTTATTAAATTATTTTTAGGACATCATTAGAAACTGATTTACGTATGGAACAAGATTTTCAACAACGACTTAATCAAGCATTAACAAATGAAAAAGATAAAGTTTCTCGACTTCAATTTGATATCCATGAATTACGTGTGGAATATGATTCACATAAGGGTGAAATGGATAAAAAAGAAAAAGATTTTGAAAAAAAGTATCATGAACAAGAAAAAACTATAGAAGAATTGGCATTAAAATTAGGAGCATCGATGACACGTGAAGATGAATTTCGTGAAAAAGATACTTTACGATCATTGCCATGGATGAAAGATGAAGATGTTAAAGAATGTTGTCAATGTAAAAAAGAATTTAATACAATTCGACGAAAACATCATTGTCGAAGGTTGATTTGTTTTTGCTTCGTAATAAAAATAAAATTGAAAGTTCTATTTTATTTTAGTTGTGGTCAAATATTTTGTGAAAGTTGTGTTAGTACAAAACTAACCTTAGCAAGTTCAAATAAACCGGTGCGTGTATGCGATTCATGTTGTAATCGTGTACTTGCTCAATGTGCAGTTAGAAGTCCATAAACCAAATTCCTCCGAATTGCAATAAAACAAAACAATCATGATTTTTATTTTTAGTATTTATTTTTTCGTAATTTATTGAATGAATGACCGCTTGTTTTTACTTCTAAACAGAATGAATTATATTGTTTTTTTTTAATTCAAAAATGATTTTATTAAATATTTTGTGATATTTACCTATTTTCTAGATGTTATTAACAAGTAAATATGCTATGGAATTGTCAAGACGTGTTCTGAATTTTTGGTTTTTGAATAATCGTTGGACTTCGTTAGATAATGTACCAGCGAAATCAACACCAGTTGATGAAGAAAGTCTGAAGCGTTGGTTTTATTCATCGCCGGAATTTGATCAACAAATACGAGAAAATTTCGAAGACGATTTATTGCATTTAATTAATGATGAATATAATCCTGCAGATTATTTATCTCATCCAGAACAATTATTAGCATTTATAATTGCTCTTGATCAATTTCCACGTAATATTTTTCGTGGTGATGTTCGTGCATTTTCATATGACTATAAAGCAAAAGAATTAAGTCAATTATTAATCAATGAACACGCTGATAAACAACTTCCATACATTGAACGATCCTTTATTTATTTACCATTTGAACATAGTGAAAATCTTGAAGATCAAAATAAAGCTGTTAATTATATGGAGCAATTATATGAAGACGCTAAAAATGATCCTTCATCAAATGAAAATGTTTGTAATTTTGTTAAACAGTTTGTACAAGCATCAAAACAACATCGAGAAATTGTTAAACAATTTGGACGTTTTCCACACAGAAATGTAATTTTAAAACGTCCACCACTTGAAAGTGAAGATAAATATTTACGTGATGGTGGTGAACGGTTTGGTCAATAGTCAAACATCTAATCAATTTTTTGTTTTGATATTATTTAAGCACATTTATATGCATGAAGAATTTTAGAATTATTTTTTTTAGATAAAATATTTCTAATTCTTATTCGAAAAAATAATGCCGACTGCTAGAGATGATCAACCTGATTATCGTGAAGCTTTTAGTTTATTCGATGATCGTGGTGATGATAAAATTCCCAAACATTTATTTGGTGAAGTTGTTCGAGCTCTTGGATTAAATCCCACAGAAGCACAAATTAAAGGAACAGTACAAAATTTAAAAACTGATAGAATCTCATTTGAAGAATTTTTACCATTATATGATTCACTAGCGAAAAAGAAAGATAATAGTATGAATGAAGATGAACTTATTGAAGGTATGCATTTCAATTTAATTTTCTTATAGGAGAGTTATTTTTTATCTTCATTATAAATTGTATCAATTGAATATACTTTTTCATGATTACGCTCTATTTATTTGGTTTCTTTTGCAAATAAGAAAAAAAAAAGATTAATTATATATATCAAGACAGATGCAAGATAAGAATATGAAAAATAATTATTGAAACAGAAAATTTATTAGTAGTTGCGCGTCTTCATAGAGTTTTGCATGCTCATCTAAGCTGACTTGATAGGAGTTTCGTTAACTATTTATTAGCTTGAAATAAAGTATTAATATGACTGTATGCAACATGCAAAGATTGAAATGACAAGTGGGAAACTGAGCTGAGAATATTTATTATATTTAATTGTGAATATTTCTTGTAGGTTTAAAAGTATTTGATAAAGAACAAAATGGCAGTATTTCATCGGCTGAACTTCGTCATCTATTAACTAATCTTGGTGAACGTTTATCTGATGAAGAAGTTGAACAATTACTTTCTGGTTTTGAAGATAAAAATGGCTCTATTAATTATGAAGATTGGATCCGAAAATTACTTCGTCATTAAAAAAACAAAATTATTCAAAATATAATAAAAAAAAACATTCCATTTTTTTCACTTTGCTAATGATCAGTGCAAATTATCTTTTTCTTTTTTTTTTATCTAATTGATCTGCTTTTTCATTCCACTTCTCTTTTTTTTTATTATACAAATCTCAATTTTAGATGATATAATTTATTTAATCTTCAATGAATTCTATTTCAAATAACAATAACTCTAGTGGTTCAATGTATCCCATATTACCACTACCAATATGTGTTCGATTTCGTACGGAAAAAATTTTATCATCGAAGTAAGTTTTTTTCTTAAATATGTGTTGTTGTACCATTGAATTTTTCCATTTCTTCATCTTCATTATTTTCTACTGAAAGTTCTCCATATTCCGCAAAATCTATTGTATGATATTGACGTTTACTAACTAAATAAGCTGGAACAGAGAAGAGAAGTAATATAAAAAGTGTAATAGCTATATGGAGAACAAAATAATATGCGATTAACATTGTTGTACGATGTGAATCAGGATCTTTACTTTGATCATAATGTTCATGAAATGGACTATAAAGAATAAAACCAGCTGTATAAAACCATGAGCCTTGTAGAACAGTAAAATAACCTCGCATTAAAGTAGCATAAACTTTTTTTTCTTGTTGACTTAATTCAAAAACTCCACATACGACCGTAGCAG